TTTTTTTTTCTGACCATTGTGAGGGCAGCTGAATCTCCGGGTATTTAGTTCCCGGACGTTCTACTGTTGAATTGACAACTGATTTTTCGACTGTAATTATTTTTTAGGCTCAGCCAATGCCGACAGCAGCAGCAGCAGTAGCAACAGGTGCAGCCAGAGAAGGGGCGCTTGCTGGAAACAGATATGATGTGGTACCGGGCGATGATGTGCCACCTCCAGCACCAACTTCACAACCACCACCAATGCGTTTCAGTGGTGTACACATTGAAAGATACGATGAGCCACCTCTTGAGGTATTTTGGTATCTGATTTTGCTATAATTTGAATTTGTCTAGAATTTCCAGAACAATTAATTTACCCTAAACAGTTCGACGATATACTACTAAAGGCAAAGAATACGTGCTACAGCAGGCAAAGAAAATACACATCACTGATATCTCCCGCCAATATGAGAGTCGCACATCACAGAGAATTATGGCAGTTCTTTGTATAATGGATTAAATAGCAGGTTTTGCAAGAGTTTTGTGAATTTGGCAATATTTTTCTTTTTTTGTTAAGGCAGCACAAGTGACAACAACAGTACCACAAGGTGATCCGCTTTCTCCGCCAACACATCCGCTTGGCTCAACAGGCATCACAGCTGTTGCTATCTATGATTATCAGAAACAGGATGACGATGAAATAAGCTTCGATCCAGACGATATTATTACGAACATTGACAAGGTATGCCTTCATATAATTTTGGGAATCATTTGTTTTTTACTGTACCTCCAACTACCTCAAAATTCTCGTCAGTTCCTCTGTTGCGAATTTATTATTTTTACACTTGCAGAATGTTTTCGGAGTCTAATTTCGTGAGATTTTTGGATTTGTGCACAAATTACAAATACACAAATCCACAAATATCACGAAATGGCGGGATCACGATTTTTTTTTTTTTGCTTATGGAAAATTTGAAATTATGAAACTCCTGCGAAATCACTTAAATAAAAGGCATAATTATAAAAAGCAGCAGATCCACAAATAGAGGAGGGGAGGGAGGGAGGGAATAGGGAGAAGGTTTCGAAGGTGGAGGCCCTTTTTTCGAGTGATTTTGGGCAGGGGGGTGCGAGGTGGGGTAAAGGGCTGAGGTAGGAGGAATCGAACAACTCCTCTTCACATCCGGATACCATTGGTCACTGTACTCCATTTACCAGTTAGAGCATTTTTGTCTGACTTATTGGAGCATCTAATTGGAACATACATTTTGCTCTGCGTTGTTGATGCTGCTGTCGCAAGCTGCAATTTCTCAGTTTTTGCTGGCTTTTCGTGGG